CCGAAAATCCGTCTACGGCCGCTGTCAAGTTTGCAGTGCTTTAAAAAGGCTAAAAACGCATGTAAAACAATAAAAGTTTAATGAATATTCAAACAACGTACAAATAGCAAAACTTAAGCAATTCTTTTTAAACTTAAAACAAGCAATAAAGCCCAGTAAAACTTTAAGAAGTATAAGAAGCTTACACACAAAATAAACAATATTATTTAAATAAAAAGAACGACCCGTATTTCCATACTGTAACTCTGTTTGTCTCAGACAAAAGGCACAACGCAGTAACAGTTGAAAAATAATCAAAAAAATAAGCAAGGCATAAAGGATGCGAACTTACATAAGCGTAGCGTATTAAGTACTTCAAAAAAACTTTTCATAAAAAATCAAAAATCTCATCAGCATTATGTAACTCTTTCTTAACTGTTTCAGTTAAAACTACTTTGTTCCGTCATGAGGATTTATAATAAAGAATTAAGAATGTATAAAACAACACTAAGGATAGTCGGCACTGTCTGACAATGACAGTTCCAGCTTGGAGACTGCTGGAAGTTTTCGAAGCACGTCTTTCTTACCCTACTTTTCTCCGTTTGGCGCAAATACAGAGACCATCACTGTAAAAAAGTTCTAGAAGCCCTGGCTTGCTCCACAAAGACGTGCTCTTAAACCGCCTAGCAGCATTCCTTCTAAAACAATACGCATAATACGTCACAAAGATTAATGAGAATTACCAGCTACTAAGAATGCGAGCTTGGTTACTGATTACCTGTACATATAATTCAAAAATTGCTCACACGGGCAACTTATAAACTAGGGAACTGTCGCTAAAATGATGTAATCTTGCAAAAAAACTATCTATCTAAACAAAAAATGTCCAAAGTCTTAGCAATTATTTAAAACTATACAAAAGAAATTTGTTAAATTTGTGGCTCAAATGTTTTCAAATCTAAAATCTTTCGTTCTAAAACTTTAAAAAAAATTTCAGTAATTGAAACCTTGGTATGCTGCCAAAAAATAATAAATCTTAACCTAAGACTCCTCATCGGTGACATTATCGTCAAGTGGCATGTGAACAATGATGTCTTGTTTGTGCTGAATCTGCATCCCGGAAGCAACAGCTTCTGATAACTGCCTCGTCAAATCTTTGAAAGCAGCGACCTGCTCAGCAGATAAAGGATCACAACATAAGGTTTCAAGAAAATGATCACCGTTATCTTTTAAGCCACACAGATCCACTAAAAAAAGTCCTTTACAAGGGAAAAACAAGAATGTGGAACTAGACGACCAAAAATGAAAAATAACCATCGTCTGAGCTAGGAGGATGTAGTTTCCAAAGACGACTATCGTGCTGTTTCACAATATCATGGTACTGCTTAGCACGCGCTATTTCCTCATTATTTGGGGCTAGATCGTTCGTGTTGCCAATAACGACAATATTCTAGCAGAAAATACTAGGTAAGTTTTACTAAAAAACTACAGAGGAATAAACTCTTGATGAAAGTTCTTTACAGCATATGACCTCCAGTCCAACGACTGCCTAAGAACGCAACAACTTGCTTTTATGCACTTATGCTTTTTTCAATAATTACTCCCGCGCACTAAAAGCTTTGAACCCACAATTTGACTCCTTCTACCTAAAGTACTCTGCGTCAACAAAAAAGCTAAATAAGCATTAATTTAAAAAAACAAAAAGTAGTGTTACATAAAGCCAACGGTCTACCGCGGGATATCTAAAGATTTCTAGAAAATAGCACACATACTGCATTTATGTGTACACATTTCATTCTCAAGACATATGCGAAAATAACGCCAAAATTGCAAAAAGAACAGTAAGTCGGATATTTCGATTTCAAATAAACCTGTCTAGTAGCATCAATAATCTGTCTCAGCATCTGCTCTTCTTCATTATCAGCCTGAATATTTCTCGTCACTGGAGTTCCTTGTACAGAGTTGTTAGCTGGACCAGGCGCCCATGTGTTCGTCAACGACTCGCTGAAAACTAAACTGCTGGTTAAACATTACCAAATAATGTTGCAGAAAAACTTTTAGCACTCAAATTTATTTAGACCACATTCATAGGGTATAGGCGCTAAAAGTACGGCTATAAGCCGCAAATGATACATATTTAGAACTCTGCGACTTTCAATAAGAAATCAACTATTCAAATATCTAAATAAGGGCACTAACCGTGAAGTGCGACCTCTACTAGACATAATATTAGTTTCACATTCTTCTTCATCATTGATCAGCATACGCTCATCGTCGCTGTATTCACCCTCACAACAGCAAACTTTCATGAAAAGAGCCGTCACTTTCATTCTGATGTTTCTAAATCCATCAAATTTAAAAAGAATGACGGAGAAATGGAGCAAACAGGGAATAACCCCTTCATTACACAATCTTCGAAACAGAAATCAGAACCTTTGCTCTGTATCATTAGAAGAATATGTAACTTTACAAACAAAAAAGTCCTGTCAGTAGAAAAAAGCGAAAATTAAAGTAGTGTTTATTTTCACTAACAGTTTCAAACATTAATAAAGATTTTAAACCAACTTTTCCTACTCTCCAAAAACTTCTCTGACGATTACACATAATTTTAAAGATTCAACAGCCAAAAATTAACCTCAAATAGTCTTCATTCTCGCGGAAGCACAAAATGTAGTCAAATATACTTTGCTACCACAATCCAAAGTTCAATTTTAAAAAACAATCAGGAATACATGAACTCAAACATGTGACTGATCGCCATCGGTATTCTCAGCCTTTTCGAGAATGAAAACTTGGCAACGACAGCACGAGCAAAGATCCCTTATACAAGTTCAAATAAGCAATAAAAACTAAATAAACCATACACTGCTCTCAAAAAGAAAAGATAAAAAACGAACGAAAGCAACTGCTAAACTGGTTCAAGCCGAGTACCATGACTAGCTGCTCAGTTCCAAGCAAGGGCAGCCCAAAGTATCATGAGAACTGCACTCTGTATTGTAAACTTGTTTTACTCGGAATACTAAAGAAAAGTTGACGTGAATTCCAAAATTAGCAGAAAAAACCTCCAAAAAAAGAAAAAAAAAA